CTAAGATACATTTGCAGAAATCCATTTATAATCTGAGACCTCCCTAAAGGAAACCAATAGCATCAATCCACCAATTAATGTTGGTTATAAATAGATGTAGATATAAATGAGTGTAGTTGTTATGACACTTTTATTGAAAATAGCATATCCAATTTTGAAGGCAATAAAGTAAATTAAAAAGAAGAAGCTAGTATAAAAGAAAGGTGTGATTAATTCCCAAATCATTCTTGCATAATGTATTTCATATGAGAAAGTACTTGATAAAAAGCAATCTAAAGAGTAAATCATTGACTCAAATGGTGAACTAATAGTTTATAAAGTACCTTATAATTCATTTGAAAAGTCTATTTAAAATGTACTTATTGTATCTAAAATTTATAAATAATTTGTTAAAAGTTTCATTAAAATTGCAGAACTATCTTAATTAAAATAAGTAGAACGATAAAAAACAGACTTAAAATCTGGTAATATATCCTATGCCGCCTTTATTGTACCTTAAACAGAAATAAAAACAGAAATTAAAGTCATTCAATAACATATATATTATTCCCATAAACTTACTAATATAATAATTAATGTATTTCTTTATGTCTCCTAACAGGAACCGCAAACAAACCTTTAGCCAACAGAGAATTTACCATCACCTCTCGTATTATACAAATCGCATTATTCACAAAATGCTCCGATATGTCCGATTGAACAAGATAAATCACCCTCCCTCAATCCTCCCAAACAATTACTGAGTAAATTAAGACAACTAGATACTTTACTTGTATCTATATAAGGTCGCCAAAATCCTTATTTTAAATTTAATTAAGATGAATTCACACTTATTGTAGATATATCATCTTTTACTTCACATTTAGGTGAATTCAATTTTAAAGAGAATAAACCTTGACTATTATCACATAGAATGCAAGAGAAGTTAATAAAACTCTTAATTTCACAAAATTAACATGGTAGAGTTCTAACTTCGACTCTTAATTTATAATTATTGTGAATGCCTTGAAGATTATAAGGTAAATTTTTATTAAATATTGGAATTTATATGGAATTGCAACTAAATTCTAATTATACAGACATATTAGAAGGTAATTCATTATCTAAATATATTATTAAATCTTTCCAATTATAACCCTAAGTTGAATCATTGAATTAAGTATTATTCATATTTGTAAAATTAAATAAGAAATTATCCAAATCTAGTTTGTTTTCAGAGAAAACTTGTATTCTACCCTAAATTCTACAGGAAGTACCAGATAAATTTCTTATTATCTAATTTTCTGAATTTAATGGTATAAGTCGAAAGGTGTAATTTGATGGGATATACTTTCGATCTTTCCAATCAAAATATTTATATTTAGCAATACTTTACCCACTTGGGACAAATAGTTATTGAGATATCATCCCTTAAACTGTTTCATAAGGAGGAATATACACCTAATCGATTATTAGATTATCTTCATTTATCAATCAAAATGTTGAAAGCATTTCCTTTTCATTTAGTTATAGAGTTAATTTTTGAGGAATGGATATAATATTTTTTCCGTAAGTTTATGCTTTATTGTTATTAATATAATTATAAAAAATTGGATACTATAGAGTTTCCTATTGAAAAATTCCTCCTCCAATATTTGCTTCATTATTTTAAATCTAACAATTATATAGTAAAATCTCTTTGTTTGTATAAATAGCTCCTCCTCTTAAAGCAGCATTGTTAGATAAGAAATTACAATCCTATAGGTATATTGTGATATATTATGAATTTAAGCATGTACCCTCTTAGCATGAATTATTTGTGCAAATATAGTTTGTAATTATACTTTCAAATCTTAGAAGAAATTTTTATTTTTCATCAAACTAAAATAATATTCTACCCTATTTATTCTTAAATAGGTTAAGACATCCTTTATATCCACATTGTGAGTTTGTAATAAATAGATTCGAAATAGAGGAGAATTTTTGTATTTTATTTGTTGTTTTATACTTAAATGATAATAATCCTCTTTGACAAAATGAACAATTAATTTCAGTAACAAGCATATTTTTTATTTCTATTAGATCATCATAGAGTGAAGAGAGTAATATATAAGTCCTGATTCACTCATGTCTGTTAGATTAGTGTTAAGATTTCTCCAACACAAATCCTTTGAAGATTTAGAATTGTAAAGCTTTGTAAATTTGAAGGTGCTGAAAATATTTCTGTATCAATTAAAAGCATTAAAAGGATTTTGAAGGGAATGAATAATTATTAGCAAGGGAAGAACAATTATTTTGAATAGTTCAAACTAACCAACTGAAATATTCTTAATTAAGATATTATCAAAATTGATTTAACAAGATTAAACTTAATTAAAATATATTTTTTACATTGATTAGATTCAATATGAATTAAAAAATTTGATAACTTGGAATTGATAACTTTCAAATCTTTTACATTTACTCTCCTTGAAGAACTCAAATAAAGAAATGATTCATAAAGCAAATTATCAATATAAATATTTGAAAAATTGATTGATTCTCCAAATTAAATATAAAATAAAGTTTTATTATTATTAAAAGCATATTCTTAATTTGTACTAATCTAATCATATTTGTTTACTTGACTATAAAATTATTAATATGTAAATTCTTAGAATAACTTGATTAACTCTAGAATTATATATAAGTTATAGAACCTTATAAAGAATGTACATTTTGTAATATTAAATTATCCATTCAACATCGATATTTTTCGATCCTGCTTTTAAATATAAAAATCCTCCTTAATATCTACTAAAAATTTTATCAGCATTGATAATCTCTAATAGTTAGATTTAAAGATTATGATGCTGATGAATCAATAAAAAGACTCCCACCTTATTCGTTTTCTTCTTAAAATGCTGTCATTACATTTTTAAAACTCAAGTTAATTAATTAAATGTTGCAATAGTTTTAAGCAATTACTTGGAATGCTCCTCCATAAGATCCTTAAGAATTTTAAAATTTGCAATTTTTAATTTTTAATTCTTCCATGATGAATTAAGCGTTTTCAAAAGATGATTTAATTTGAAACATTTTTTGTATATCTTCTAAATAAATCTAATCTTAATCTGAAAAACCTAAAAGTATATGCGGTTGGATTATTGAATAATCAAAAATTGAATTGTTAAAAAATTAACAATCACTCATTATAAGTGACTTGCCTTTTATCATTATTAAACTATTTGTGCTATTAAATACCATATTACCAGATAGTTGAGATTTTATTAAAATTACAGAGGCTTGCTGGCAGTCAATGTTAAATACTAAAGCTGATACCTTCAAATTGTCTTAAATATATTCATGCATAATATTATTTATAAAAGTAAGGTTTTTAATTTATAGAGTAGTCATTTATACAGATTCTATTGGGATAATACTTGTGGAAGACTATTTTTCAGTAATCAATAAAAGATTATTGAAAGCCTTTAAATTAGAAATTGTGATGGTTTCTGACTATTGTACTGTTGATAGTTAAGCTGATTGATATAAAATAATAGGTGAATTATTGGATGAAACTTCTTTGATGATAACTTGATTGATAAGCAAATTTAAGCAAGAATATATAAAGAGAGATTATAAATAGTACTATCCCTAAATATATTTGAGTTATCATTCCAAGTATTGATGGATATGTAGTCTGTAATCTTAACCTTAAGTAATAAAGGCAAATTATATTTAAAGGAATTATGTTTCAATTATACTTATGTCAATCAATCCTTGTCCTCTTGTAATATTTAATCCATTTATGTCGATTTCCTCTAAAGAAATATATATTAAAGAAGACTATTATAAGCGTTGATTGAAATCTGGGGATATGTTAATCATCTCATTATTTATTATTGACATATTTTTTATTTAAAGCTAGGATGAGAGGAAAGTAAATTTTTATAACTTTAATAATTTTCTAGTTTCCTCATATTTATTAGATTCAAATTTAATATTGGAAACATACAGAATGAATTATTTCATGTAAGAAAATAATTCTGAATTTATTATTCCAGCTAGAAATTAACATTTAAAAAAAAGAATTTCACTTAAAGTACAATTATTATTTAATTTTATCAATACAGTTTTAAATAACTATGAATTTTAAATGATAAAATTAAAAACTTCCACTTATTAAAACCAAAAGAGATTAAAAATTGATGAACATTTTTGAAAATCACTCTCAATTTAGGTTGAATTCAATTAAATGGTACCAATAATTTTATTTTCGTTTGTTGTAATAATTGTTGAATTGTAAAAATTCCCTTTGAAAATTGAATTTGAAAAACAAAGACTGTCATTTTAGTCTAATTCAAGATGTAAAAGGTTTATTCCATTAAGTTTGGAATTCAAAAATTAAAAATCATTTATCTAAATTATCTTTTAAAATTCAGTTTAAGCAATTATTATGAAAGCTTCACTTTTTTCAAGAATAAGATCGCTAATTATGAATTTATTTATAGTTAGTGATGAAACATTCAGAAATATTATTTATGATTGAGTCATTAATTTATCTGAAGAGAATTAGATATTATTTAACTCTATGTTAAGAGGAAAACAACTTGTGAAAATTATTTCTTTTAGTTTATCACTAGATTATGGAATTAATTTTAGGTTGCTTATTTTAATGGAATTGAAATTCAAAAATTACAATATCCTTTCATATACAAATTGTATTTCATAAAGAAAGTTTAACTCTAATTCAACATTGCTATTAATAAGGGGAAAATATACATAGCCGAAAATATGTGTTCACTAAAGACTTATTAAATCTTTGATCGATCTGGAATCATGCATTTTTAATTTATTTTACTTTGAATTATTATTCTTATAGATTTTATTTATTTCTCATTAGCTTAAAAGTAAAACAAATCGTTTTCATACTAAATTATATTAAACTTTACTTCTCTAAAGCTTGAGCCAGATATCAAATCATCAATTAAAATATTTTCAAGTGAAAAACGTTATCTTTAGAAAGAATCAAAAATAGCATCTCTATCATTATGATACTCTTAAGAAGAACAATATAAATTTAAATTAACACTATACTATAAAAAACATCCTAAATCTTAACCCAAACAATTTACGAACATTCCTAATTATTAATCATAAGTATATCCATTATCTGTATAACTCTTGAGACATTAATGAGCATATGTAATATATTTTGGATTATCAAATAAAGGATTAATTTTTTTAATTTCTTCATTTGATCTTACTCGACATAAAGCACAATTTGATGAGCACTCAATGCATTCATTATTCATTAAAGTTAATTTCCTACCATATTATCCAAGTTTACATTTTAAACAAATATTTTACCCATTTATGAGTTAACATCTCAAACACCTATCAGAACATGATTAAATGCATTGATTATTAATTAGTTCATACCCAAAAACACATTGACTGCATTTTATTTCATAATCTTCTTTATTTGAGCTTTAACCATATTAAGAATAAGGATGTTCATCATCTTTTTCAATAAATACTTTATAATATGCTCTTATGTCTATTTTCCAATTATCTTAAGATGCTTTGTGTTATTAATAACATGATTAACATTTCAAATCAGATGGACACAAAAAACATTTACTTATTATATTGTCTAAATAATATCCATCTTAACAATTCAAACATATATAAATCTATTATTATTGTGATACTGAAAATTTTCCTTATAAGCATGTTTCACATTAGTGAATGGACGAAAATTCAGAGCATGATTCAGTAAATTAAACCTCATCAGAAACTGTTGAAGTAGTAATTAAACAAATTTATTAAGTAGTACATACATTTCCAGTTGCTTTTGAATAGGCAAGATTATTTAATTATAAGTCGCACTAAACTAATGATTAAGAATATCCAAATAAACATACATTATTATCAACAAATAAGCATAATTGTAAGGATATCACTAGTATAGAATTACTCACACATCTGGCACAAGTTGTAACAATATTTTCTTAATCCAACTGTACTTCAAAGTATTAATCAAGTGTGTTGATTTATGAATTTGATTTTAAATATTAAAACGCATATAAGCAATTTTCAATTAAATTCTCCTAACAACTGACTCCATCAAAAGATAAAAAGTATTTAGTATTATCAATGCATTTCAAACATTTAAGGTATGAATACTTTAGATTGTTATCATAATAATTTTGACATATTTTACAATATGAACCGCATAATTAACATTATTTATTCTTTAAAGCATATCTATCATAGCAAGAAGTACATTAAACCTCTTTATCTAATTTGTTGAATTCACAAGTTTAACAATCAATAGGACAATTATAGCATTTATTTTGAACTGGGTACATATTATCTAAGCAAATTTTACAATCACCATTGTCTTAGGCTTCTAAGCAATTTAGATTTATTTCTTCGCAATCATTATTGAGTATGTAATAATTAGGTTTACAATTAACATAATGATATTAACCGTTATTTTTTTCTCGAGATAAAACACATTTTTCTTCTTTTCGATCTGGATCACAATAGTCCAAATACCCTAATTAGAGTTTCAATTAATTTTCATCATCAATGAAATAAAAATCATAATCTCTTAAGCTTCTGGATATTAGTTAAAAAGCACTATCAGATGTTTATCCATGATTTATTAAATCCTTTGTGCAGATGGGTTTTTAAGACCAAGTTATTGGAAATTACAAGCAATCTATACATAATAAATCATTATCATTGTCTTAAGGGCTAGAGATAAAATAGATTATACCATTTTATACATTCATTTNTCTCTTCATTTGATCTTACTCGGCATAAAGCACAATTTGATGAGCACTCAATGCATTCATTATTCATCAAAGTTAATTTCCTACCATATTATCCAAGTTTACATTTTAAACAAATATTTTACCCATTTATGAGTTAACATCTCAAACACCTATCAGAACATGATTAAATGCATTGATTATTAATTAATTCATACCCAAAAACACATTGACTGCATTTTATTTCATAATCTTCTTTATTTGAGCTTTAACCATATTCAGAATAAGGATGTTCATCATCTTTTTCAATAAATACTTTATAATATGCTCTAATGTCTATTTTCCAATTATCTTAAGATGTTTTGTGTTATTAGTAGCATGATTAACATCTCAAATCAGATGGACACAAAAAACATTTACTTATTATATTTTCTAAATAATATCCATCTTAACAATTCAAACATATATAAATCTATTATTATTGTGATACTGAAAATTTTCCTTATGAGCATGTTTCACATTAGTAAATGGACGAAAATTCAGAGCATGATTCAGTAAATTAAACCTCATCAGAAACTGTTGAAGTAGTAATTAAACAAATTTATTAAGTAGTACATACATTTCCAGTTGCTTTTGAATAGGCAAGATTATTTAATTATAAGTCGCACAAAACTAATGATTACGAATATCCAAATAAATATACATTATTATTAACAAATAAGCATAATTGTAAGGATATCACTAGTATAGAATTACTCACACATCGTTGTAACAATATTTTCTTAATCCAACTGTACTTCAAAGTATTAATCAAGTGTGTTGATTTATGAATTTGATTTTATATATTAAAACGCATATAAGCAATTTTCAATTAAATTCTCCTAACAACTGACTCCATCAAAAGATAAAAAGTATTTAGTATTATCAATGCATTTCAAACATTTAAGGTATGAATACTTTAGATTGTTATCATAATAATTTTGACATATTTTACAATATGAACCGCATGATTAACATTATTTATTCTTTAAAGCATATCTATC